AAAAAAATATTACTTTAATGGACAATTTTCATGTAAAACAAAGCCAAACGAATAGAAAATTTAAAAATTTTTCGGGTGGAAAATTATACCAATCAAACACACTTGAAATCATTTTCTCTACAAAATATTTTCTAAGCAAATCTTTTCCCTGTAAAACATTTTCTTTCCACCCATTTTCCACCATTACAATCAAACGCACCCTAAAAGAACAGATAACATAGGTGACCAGCAGTCCATTAATGGGTTGGGCTATAAAGCAAAATAAATAAATACTGAAAATAATGAACTAAGAAACATTAAGTACCGTTTTGACTTAGCAAACTTCCAAAATCTCTCACACCTCACGGCGAAACAGTGTGTTCAATGAGAATCGTTGCGAGCTTTCCAAAATGGGGTCATGGGCCCAAAACGGACACTGTATCCAATGATTTTGGGGAAAATGATCAGGTTAGTGTGGAGGAATGAGCACTTGCGTATTTGAAATGTTTGGATGGTCGGCGCTTAAAGAAAATGACATAACTTTTGCATACTAGTCCATTTTGGACCCATTCTGAAAAAGTATTTGAAATGTTTGGATGGTCGGCGTGTAAAGAAAATGACATAACATTTGCATACTTCTCCATTTTGGACCCATTCTGAAAAGCTCGCTATGATTCCCATTGAGCACAGTGCTTCGTCGTGACGTATGAGGGATTTTGGATGTTTGAATTTGTTTTCTAAGTCAAAACAACACTTAATGTTTCTCAGTTCATTATTTTCAATATTTATTTATTTTGTTTTGTAGTCCAGCCCATTAAGGGACTATTGGATCAGTAGATTATCTGTTCTTTTAGTATTTAAGACTCTAAAATGTCTTGTAGGTTTTTTGGTCGTTCATGAAATAAGAAAAGCATTTTTTTCTTAATGTGCAACCATTTTATTAGTGTGTTTGTAGACTCGATCTACATCAATTGCTTTCTGCTTTTCTTGCATTTAAGGTTTTTGTATTCATAGCAGTATAATTCGTACTATTTTGCTGGTTGGGTGGAGTAGGTGGTGGGATTAAAATTACTCGTGACCAATTATTTGATATTGTGACCAATAAATTGTATATTTTGTGACAAATAAATAATATGTAACCAATAAATCGTGACCAATAAATAATATGCTCTTTAAAATTTTGAGTTGTGGCTTATAAAATTTGTGGATTGTGATCGATTAATAAATTGTGAACTATAAAAAAATTTATTTGTGACCGTGAAATAATTTGTAACTTACAAAATTTTTGATTTGTAACCAAATTAAATAGAATTGCGACTTTAATATATTTAATTAATTGTTTCAATTTTTTTTTTTTTTATAATATCTAATTTTTGAAATTTTAAACATTGTTTCTTTGTTTTGAAATGGGTCATATTTAATAGCTTAAATATAAAATTTAACTTTAAAAAATGTCCATTAAATATATTTTTTAAACCCTATAATGACCCTGGCTAAGCTATAATTATTGAACCTTTGTATGATAAAATGGTCAAACTTCATTTTCAATTACATTATAAAATATTTTGCACGTAAACTCAATTTTTTTTTTTAACATTTTAATCATGCATTTTTCAAAAAATCACTATTCAAAAAATGATTTTTTTTATCTGGAGCTCAACGCTCAAAGTAGATAAGTTAGGATTGTATAGATCCTTTAAACTCGTGTCATTCTAATCTCTCAAAATTCGAAAACTATTCACCCTAAAATGAATTATTATTATTATCACCATCATTTTCTTCTTCTTCTTCTTCTTTGTTGTTGTTATTGTACTACATTTAATAAATTTATTAATGAATTCCATTTTTTTTGTAATAAAATAAATAAATAAATAATTTTAAGATAATTAAATTGTTAAAAAAAAAAAAAAGAAACTTATGTAAGATTTTTGGTATATTGGGTTGGAAATGATTTTGGTTTGGGTTGCAAACGATTTTCAATTTTATGTAAGATTTGGTATAAAATGGTACAAAACTTACCTCAAATTTTGGTGCAGAATTAAAGATGGTCTAAGTTATTGTATAATATGTGAAAATTAAGCCTACTGTTCTTTATAAGTAAAGACTTCTGTAATCTTGAACTCAATTTCACTATGTGGCATACACACCCCCATTTTCTCTTTTGTAGTCGAAATACGTCATGGATGACCATACAAGAAAATCGAAATTAAAATTTTCTTTTTATAAATTTTAGATATTATTTATAAAATTAAAATAATGGGATGATTAGCACAGAATGTTCTTACCATTTACACTCACCGCCAGTTGTTTCTATCGTTTCAAATTTGGCATTTACACCCTTATTTCAATATTTTATTGCAGAGGTGGTCATTTCGGTTTCATTTCATCAAATATGGTCAATTGATGCAAATTGTTTATATCGTTTGTCTTCATTACACAAAATATACATATCATCTATTTTCTCTATTAAAAGTTAAAACATTGTAAAATAACTAATTTACCCTCTTATTTAAATAAACAAATAGAAAAGAAAGAAATAATATAAAAAAATAAATAATTAAACCTAGAGTTCCAAATTTTTAAAAAAATACAATTGAGTCTCTTGTAAAATAATTTTAAAATACTAAAAAAAACCATTTCATCTTCCCAATACTCCCATCATCTACCCTCTACCACCACCTAAATAATTAAAAAGAGAATTTAAAATATAAAAAAAGTAAGAACTAAAAAAAATCCTAAAAAAACAAAATGGTTTTTCTCTCCTGTCCAATTTCGAGCCCTACCATCGGCCACCACCACCCATTCTTCCTATCCCACCTTGTTACCATATAGGAATTTAACTATTTTTCTGTATTCAAGTTTTGTATTTCAATATCTTTTTGTTTTCAGGGAAATTACAAGAACTTTTTTAGGGATTCGTCTATTTTCAATAAATTCTTATTCTTATCTTTCAATTGCTGATTACGCATGCGTGTCTCACATACATGTGTGTGTGTTTTAATATGTTTTAAATTATTTTCAATAGAACTAGTTTTCACTATTTGAAAATTTTAGGATTTTGACTGCAATTATTTTTTTTTTCTATTTGTTTATTTAAAGAGGAGTATAAATTAGTTATTTTACAATGTTTTAGTAAAGAAAACAGACGATAAGGATATTTTGTGCAATGAGGAGATTGATGGAATGAGATGAAAATGATTAACTCTGCAAGAAAATGTTGAAATCAATGTATAAACGTTAAATTTGAAAACAAGATTTGCACAGTAAATGCAAATGATAAGGACGTTTTGTTCTAATAACCCAATAATTTGGCCATGGCTGCACGAAACTAACTATGCTAAAAGGAGCCGCCACTATAAAACAAAAATGTCCATTTTATATCTATGTCACCTCATGTATATCTTAAAATTTATTCTAAATATATTTATTGTTTGTGTTAATCGAATATGACTATTTCATATAATTAATTATATACATCCAAAATTGTGAGATATTGGAGTGAAGCGGTACGCGCTAGTGTGCGATAAGCGTTCTAGTTTCATATTAAAAAATGTAAGAGAGCCCCCCGGGGCACATTCAAATTGGCAAAGGATGGACACTGCTGGGCTAACAACCTCAGGGTGGGGAGTTCGATTCCTGGATGGATCAGCTGAGTGTTGTAATACTCAATTTGGGTGGAGCAGCTTGGTGATGTAATAATCATGGAGGAAGGTTCCCTTGGTGACATGGAGGAAGGCTCCCTTGGGGCCAGGAGTATAAAGGGTACACAGACCCTGGTCAATTTGGGCATATCCCGCGATTAACCTCCACCCATCACTGAGGGGCCGGGGATGGGTGGTCCAGGACATAGTCTAGTGTAAGTTAGGATACCTGGATATCAAAAAAAAAAATGTAAGAGACTTAGGTCCAGGGATTGCAAGTATTGTACGGATGGGTATACCACAATTTATAGTTCATAATTGCATACAATTCACCCAACACCTACCTACCTGCCTTTGAATATTCTAGTCATTCATTTGGCAAGGACTCAATGGGAGGGAAATTAAAAGGTAAAAATGTTCGACCTAATTCTCAAAATAAACAGAATCAAAGACTATCACATGTCATCGTTTAGGGGCCGTTAAAATAAATGTGGCCGATATGCTACATGTCTTCATTGAAAAGGAGCCGAGCACAATTTAAGTGATTATATCATTTACTCTCAATAATTCACACTTTCAATATGAATGTTATTGTTAAAAGATTATTTGAACAGTTTAAATTTAACATTTAGAGTCACGACAGAATTTGATGTAGACGTTACATCTATACGTGACACAAATCTAAAAATCGAGTACAACGAACAACTTTATTCACGTGAGTGTATGTATCAAGTTTTTTGACAAGATGGATATGAATGAAGATTTAATGAATCACAAATAGTCAAAACTAAGCCCCATATTTTTTCTCTGCCTACAAGGACTTTGTTTATAGGGTTAAACTTCAATATTTTACAAAATAATGGTAGACATGACATCATAAATTAACTCGAATTATACCTAACAAAATTATAAAGTAAAAACCTCAGCAAATTCAGGTTTTATAACATAAGAAAAGTGTGTTTCTGTTTTGGTCCATTTCCACCCATCTTTGATTGTGAATTTAACAATACAAAAGAAACATAAAAACTGAAAAAAGCCACCGGACCCATGCATCAAGTTGACAAGGGACTGAGTAGACCGCAATTATCTAATGCATGACCTCTAAGTTGAGACTGTGAAGCCACCCCACCCCACCCCACCCCACCCCACCTTTCTTAACATATATATGCCTCCATCACCAGTCTTCAACAATATCAGTATACACTCCAACTTCTGAAAATCCCGTATAATCCTCTCTCTTTGCGTTTCACAGAGAATTTTTATAGAGTGTCGATTTTCAGAACTGTGGTGCAACTTATGTTGTCATGACAACACAAGAACCAAACGAGTCCGTAACGTTGGAACTCATTAGCCAACACCTTCTTGAAGATTTCACCATTACAGAGTCATTTCTCCAAAGCCTTAATCTTTGTTTCTCCGATGTCTTCTACAACGATCAATTTTCCGGTCCCGAAAAATTAGACTCCCCTACATCCGTTTCGATTTCAAAACAACCCAACTCAATATCCTCCACATGCTTTAAAACCGAACCTCAGTTCTTTGAAATCGAAATGAAGCCTCAAATCATCGAAAACTCCTCACTGGGTGCTCAAAATTCAGCTTCCAGCACTTCTCCTCCTCCTCCGGCGGAACCAGTTAAAACCCACCCGGAAGAAATTGGTATTTTTCACAGTTCAGGTGAAATAACGTCGAATATTGAAGCTGGAAGGCGCTATAGAGGAGTCAGGCGGAGGCCATGGGGGAAGTACTCGGCTGAGATTCGTGACCCGACCCGGAAGGGATCTCGGGTTTGGCTGGGGACTTATGACACTGATATTGATGCAGCTAGAGCTTATGACTGTGCAGCCTTCAAGATGAGAGGATCGAAAGCGATTTTGAACTTTCCGTCGAATGCCGGGAAATCCGACCCGCCGGAAAACACTGGCCGGAAGAGGAGAAGAGTAAAGACTGCACAGGATTGCACGAGTCCTGTTTGAATATGTACGAGTGAGTTTACTTATAAGTAAATAAATAAGTTTTTAGGATAAATGTAAGTTTCTTTAATTAGTTAAAGTTGAATAACCAAGTACTTGTTTAAAAATAATTTATAACATACTGTTAAAATAAGTACGTTATTTTATTTATACATAAGAAAAAATAGTTTTTAAAAAAATTGTCGAATGGCTCGCGAATAAGCAATGACAGTATTTAGGGAATAAGAATTGGCTAACTCTGCGCCGGTTGGGTTGGTCCAACCAAGAAAGGCATGAGAGTCTTTGGGCATGGAAATTGCGAAATGAATCGGAAATCAATTCATCTATTGGGAGAAATCACGAACGAGCCCTAGAAATGAAATAGAGATTGAAAGAGTAAATATTCGCCCTTGTAGCAATGGAATACTATTATTTCTCCTCCAAGTGATAAATGATTGATTACAAATATCTATTATATATCTTCTCTATAAATGACCAAAAATACCTTATTTACGTATAATTGGAAAGTGCATTAACATAAATACTGAAAAGTGTGTAAATTATAAAAACGAGTCAAAGTGGATTGTCCCACACTAGCACTTTTTCTGTAATGTAACGAATAAAAGTCTATGCAAGTACAGTATGACTAAAAAAAGTAGTAGTAAATAAAAAGAAAATAACTGAGCAATAATGCCCTCTTGATAATTATTACAGCGTAGTAACACAACAAAAAATGGGGTTCAAACGTGGGCTAATATTAACAAAAATTCTCGTGCGAATGCATCTTCTTCATTGCAATGAATTGACTTGTTAGGAATTATTTAAAAAAAGAGAGAGAGAGAGATGAACTATCCATGATTTCAATGCTGCCAATGTCGTTGCCCCTAGCTCCCACCCTACAATAATAAAAATAATAAAATTCAAATTTCATAATTAATTTTTTACAATATGATGTAAGTTCGTTGTATACTAATAATATTGTAGATGTTCATATTATTCACCATAAATTATCAACTTATCAAGAAAACAAGTTTTAAAATAATGAAATAAATGTGGGCAGCTCACAATTTCAAATGTTGCCCAACCCGCGCAATATTAAAAACTTGTTCATCCATGACGAGTACACCAATATACAGTAGCAATCGACTATGTTCTCATTACGTAAATAAATATAGATTTCAATATACTTGAAAATTGTTATTTGAACGAATATAGAAGATGTGACTTGGGATTTGGCAATGATGAAATTAAAATAAGATGAACACGAAATCGATGACATGCCATTTTCAAATATAATAATACCAAAATAAATTGAGTAAATAATCACTAATTAGAATTTAGTCGGTGATTGTCAACGACGTCAGAGTCACTAATTTCAACATAAATCAATTTATGTCAATAACTTAGTCAGAATATGATATCGTCGAAGATTCTCGACATACCTCTATTGACGATTATCGACAGAAAATGTCATTGGTGATGATATCGTCAATCACCAATGATGATTCGATCCTATTTGTCTACAGGAAACTATTGATATCATCAATACCAATAAAAGTTTATTTTGTATTTTTTAATTATAAAATATCGACAAATAAGTTAATTTATAATAATAATAATAATAATAATAATAATAATAATAATAATAATAATGGATAAGTTATTATTATTATTTTGTAATATTATTCTATTCCCAACTTTGATTTTTATATTTTTATTACCTTTATTGATGAAATGTCATAAAGTTAAAGAATAAAGCTATTCTAAAGGAAGAAAACTACCCTCTTCGATGACAGACTCTCACATGGCCGCGGGACCGATGTGGGTCCCGCATGAAATAAAAAATGAAAAAGAATACTCTCCCTCCACCCCCATGTGTGCGGTCTGTCAGAGAGGGTGTCACACCCTCCCTGTCACCATAGCTCGGTTCAAGGTTAAGAGCCTGTTTGGTAGGGATTTTTGGGGGAAGAATTGATTTTGAATAGTGATATGATGGGAAATGTGTGGTTGAAAAAGAAGAAAAAAATATTGATGTGATGGAAAATATTATTTTATTGAAGAATGTGTGGTTGAAAATGAGAATTGATTTGAGAATCAGAAACAAACAGGGCCTAAATATGCTAAACCATATTTGTTTTTAATATTATTAATTTAAAAGTCGTTCAAATCTTGATTTATTTATTTATTATTAAATTATTGGCCTTTTTTTTGAAGTAATATTTAATTTATATTTTAATTGCTTTGAATTTTTAGAAGTAAATTAAATTTATTAAGATAATTTACTTAATTATCATTGACGGGAACTTCATTATATCTTTAAATGTTATTTTGTTACCTACAAACTTTTTTGCCGACAATACTTGTTCTTTTCCATTTTTATTGAAAAAAAAATTCGTTCTTTTATTTTTATTTCTTTATTTAACAACAACATCACTTTATTTTATTAGAACAATTTTTTTTAATCATTAGTAAGAAAATACAAGTCCTAGTTTTTGTTGCGATCTTTACAAAAGGGATATCTCTGAATTATCATATAATGAAAAATGCTAGATGTACATCAAAAGCTGTACATCAAGGTGTACATTACCTCACATGGAGGGGCTCGTTCGAATAAAATATTCGAGTAGGCCCCTTTCCCATGTGAGGAGGGTGTACACCGTGATGTACACCCCGATGTACCTCTAGCATTGCTCATCATATAATACTTAGGGTGGAGCCTTTTGGGTCAAAATTGGGCTATAGCCCAAGATAAAGTTTGAGGAAAGGAAAAAGGGGAAATATATCATTACAATACTTATATAATTTTACTTTTCAAGAAACTTACAAAAATATTTCAAAAATCAAATGATAAATTAACGGGTCAAAATCACTTTTTATCTCATACAACCTCACCACCACCGTCAACACCAACCAAATCACCTCAAATTCACAATCCACCACCACCATCTTCACTTCAATTCTACCACCACCTCCACCTTAGCCCATCTTTGGTCCGGATTAAAATTTGATTTTAATTCAAATCAAAGTCAAACAATCAATATTAACCACATATTTCATGTATCCCACAATTTTTCAACCACACATTTCAAAAACTTCTATCACAATTTAATAAAAATCTAATTTTAATTATCACCAAACACCCTCTAAATATTCAAAAATTAGATATGCATGTTCCACCCAAATAAGCTGTAAACAATTTATTTAAGGTTTGGTTTGACCAAGATCTAGGGGTGAACAAAATATCCAAACCAAATCTAACCGAACCGAACCAAACCAAACCAAGTGGTTCGATTTGGTTCTACACAAAAAATTAATAGTTTTGGTTCTTCGAACAAAAAATCATTTGGTTATAGTTTTGGTTTGGTTCTAATTCTAGAACCAAGAACCAAATTGAGACCCAAACTTAACTTATAATTTTATTTTGGGAACAATACATAAATCCTATATATAAAAATAACAAACTTCAAATATATTTTCAAAAATCAGGGTTAAATTAATTAATTAAATATTTTTAATTATAATAGAATACAATTACCCCAATTTATTAAATCCAAATCCAAATCATTCTCTTTCTCTCTACTCTCTATCATTTCCCTACCCATTCTCTCCATCGGAGGCGGCCATCTACTCCGGCAACTATTCACGATCCCTCTGGCAAACTGCTCCAATGACTACTCCAACGCATACTCCGATCAACCTACCCACCTCATCCACCAATTCCCAACTTCTAAAAATTTTTCAAAATTTCAAGTCACAATCGGTCACAACGAGTCACAATTAACCATCACAAATGGTCACAAACGATCACAATCGGTCACAACGAACTACCCAATTGTCAAATCGATCATAAATCAGAAAAGGTTCACTGATCAGAAAAGGTAATTTTCCCTTGTAACAATAGCAACCTTAAATCTTCTTATCTGTTTACAGAAAAGAGTACCGCATAGATGTCGATTATACAAAAGCCTCAACAAGTGTGCATAAAAAATCTAGTTCTCTCCAACCTTTCCCCCTCCTAGCGTCAACGGAGAAACTAAGAATTGAGGGTGAGCTTGCTTTTCTCATCACCACTACCACTAGTCGGTTCCGCGCTGGCCATCGATGTCAATCGATTGACTTAGTATTCTCCACTTGATCTCCTCCTCCATCGCCCTTCCCTCTCCATGGAGTACTGCTCCTCCTCTTTGGCGTAACCTTCCTCACACTACTCAAATTAGGCGAAGGTGAGGCCACTTTAGTCTTACTAACTGGTAGCGAAAATGCTTCCCCATTGATTTTTGAGTAAGAGAGCCGATCTAATTTTTGGGGAAGAGAGAAAGTGTCATCGTCGATGCAGTAGGCAACTAGTCTCGCGAAAATCAGGCGAGAGAAGTGGTAGGTAGCCGAAATCTAGAGGGGAGGGTGGGGTGGGGTGGGGTGGGGTGGGCTAGGTGGGGGTTGTCCAAAAATTATAGAAGTATGATTGTGAGGAGAGGATTAGTCCTTTTCAATTCTCATCTGAAGTGTTACATATATATTGCTTTTTAATATTGTCAGATTCTGCTTTTTTTTTTTTTTTNAGGTAATTTTCCCATTTGATTTTATGTTAATTGAAACCAGCCCAATAGCTATTATTTTGGTACAACCCATAAGGCGTGTTTAACCCATTAATTTTAATTGTGTTTAATTTTTGTGTTTAAACATCACTTTAATGCATTATTTCAAATTCAAACCCTCAAAGTCCCAAATACCTCCAGACGCCTTCCTAAATTCCTAATCCCTCAAGCTTCAAACAACGCAGCTTTTTTGTGCGAAAACTTCAAGAAATGTGCTTGCCATTTCTGTATCTACAGTTGCTTCTGAGTCGATATTTAGTACTGGAGGGCACATTCTTGATTGTTTTGGGAGTTCTTTAACTCCTACAACAGTCGAGACTTTGATTTGTTCCCAAAATTGATTATGAGAAGAATCTAGGCTTTTGAGAGTAACTCAAGATGGAATTTGCATTGAGGAGACGAAATTCTACGACGAAATTGAATCTGATAAAATTTATTTTATAAAATATGATTACGTTGCATCTTATTAATTGTATATTGTTTTAATTTATTTTTGTTTGTTTTATTTGTGTATTTTGAATTATGTTTGTAGAGTTTTTCAAAGTTACAACATAAGTAATGGAGTATTAAACGGTTAATGGTTATCTGATGGTAAGGGCTAAGTTGCTTGGCTTGATCATTTTGTCACCATCCCTTCCTATTAGTTTTGAGTTTTAACTTTATATTGCAATTTCATTTTTCATTTTTCTCATGTAGGTCTAACGGCTCGATGTAAAAGAATTGATTGGACGGAGGATGAAAATGGAACTCGATATTATTAACTTCTCACGATGACTCATTCGTTTATATTTTGATAGTTAGTTTGGACTTGTATATTCTTGATTATTGATAACTGGAACTTGCTAAATGTTTGATACTTATATTTTTTATTTAAGTGCATATTAGTAACTTATGAATATGATGCAGGTCTGAAAATTTAAGTAATAGTACTAGATCAAGACCAAACCGAACCATAACCAAATGGTTCAGTTAGGCTCGACTCGGTTCCGCATCTTAAAAAAAACAATTTGGTTCCATCGTTGGTTCATGATTCGATTCGGTTCTCTTGAAACCAGGACCAAATGAAACCATGTCCACCTCTACCAAGATCCCTAAATTTAAAGAGGGATGCAACTGGAAAGCAATAAAGAAGTAGAAAAATTTAAACAGATTTGATTTTCTGGAAGCAATAAAGGAGTATACAGATTTGAACAAGTGGGAAGCAGTAAAAGATTACAAAAATTAAAAGAGATGCGAGGGAGGATATGATAAAGTAGATTGATAAATGGTTATAGAGAGAGATTGTTCTTCCATTTTCCGTTTCTGGGAAGAGAGAGAAATGGTTAGAAAGATGGTCAGAGGTTGTCCTGTATGTTAATAACAATTTATCAAGAGATGATATTGAGAGATTTAATTGGACTAAAATCTCATCAATTGAATAACTTTTCCACTCACATTTTGACAGCTCATCATCATGTAAAATATTATGTAAATAGTTGTGTACTAAAAGCATTTTCTTTTTTTAATTAATACATGATTTCAATGTTTTCTCAAAATTCTGTAACATTTCATTTCAACACAAGTTTTTCGGTTCAAGTTTCCTTATTTATAATATCAAATTGTGCACAACTAATGTTTTCTACTTCACTATACAATTATTTCGCACTCCATTAAATAAAAGAGAACCCGAAAATCCTGGGGAGATCCATAAATTAAGTCATTCTAAATCTCTGACTCTCTATCGTTCCGGTAACAGTTGCACATTAAAATTGGAACAGAGATCGATAAATTCCCAAATGGAACATTTTAGATGTAGTGAAGTTAAGGTTGAACCCCCAACCTTGAGGGCCCCCACCGACCCTGCCCTGGACCATTGTGGAGGAGGTAAATCGCAGGATGTGCCTCCCAGGAGCCAGGGTGGAGAGCTGCTGGATAGGCCTGGGCTATTAATCCTGTGGTAACTCCCGCTTGCAACAAAGTCAATTCCACCTTGCGGGGAATCGAACTCTGCACACTACCGCGCTGAGCCCTAACCGCCCTCCCCTTTGCCACTGGGAGATATGCCCTGGGGGCGTAGTGAAGTTGATAATATTCAAGTTAATAACAGACGAAAAATCCTTTTTCTGACCATGAAGAGATGTATATCTATGTCAATGAAATACTTTCATCTTGAAAAAATATTCCAAAGTGTTTCGTTACATATAGGAAGTTATTGAATCAAGAATTCCCGTACGATGGTAGTTTTCCATAAAATGGGCAACCACACACATGCATTACCTTAATCGTCATGCATTCTCGGAGATGACACTCCTAAAGAAGAAAATGGTCGATCATATGTTGGATGACATCTGCACCTTCAGTATGCATGTGATGCTCTTTTACCTGAATAATTTTCAGACGCGACCAAGAATCAGCATCTTTTTTGAATACTTGAGAAGATACAGTAATGAAGGAGAAAGATAAAGACATTGCTTCAGATTAAGAAGATTAAATGGAATGCACACATCAACTAACGCAAAACAGAAGACCTGGAGAGTAAGACTTAAAGATGGGACTCCAACTCCCAAAGTGAATGCCATGCGACATGGTATCCTATCAGAGACCTCATGCAGTCCTGCTCATAAAGTATCGCTATTGGTAAATGTTTGTGCATTCTACGTGCAAGACTTGTGCCACTACTGCCACACAGTATCCTACCAGAGACCTCACGCAGTCATCCTCATAAAGTATCACCAATAGAACTACGCCAATTATAGAATCCCAATTTTGCCAGGAGAAGTAAATGTTTGTGTATTCTACATGCAAGATTGTGCCACGACTATGGAGGCTTTTTCCACGTGGAAGCAGAATAAGGATGGGTCGTCACACGGCCTAAAACCTAACAACGTCATTTAGGTTTAATGGGTTGTTGCAGAATGATATCAGATTTCAATAGTCAGTCCAGAGTCGTGCCAGCAAGAATGCTGGCCATCCAAAGGGCATGGGATTGCAGGATTCCACATCCGCCTAAAGATGGAAATGTTGTCTGCTATATAAGGCGTATTTGATGGATATTATTGAGAAAAAAATGTATTTTAAATAGTGATATGATGATAAATATGTGGTTAAAAAGTAATAAAAAGTTACTGATGTGATGAAAAATATTATTTTATTGAAGAATGTGTGATTGAAAATGAATTTTGAAATAATATATTTTGAAAAAATGTGTACCAAACATAGACTAAGTAAGACTTGTGCAAACTACTGTCAAAAATATTTACACATGGTCCAGAAAGCTGACAACATCGAGTAGGTTTGACTCGTCATTGCACTAGTATCTTAGTGGAAGTAAATAAAAGGAATTTCTATCATAATAGAAGATGGAGTTAAACATCCCATCTCCGGCAACAGATAGCAACCTCATTGTTCCCGAGCAAGTGTCTACAGTCAGGGACGTATGTAGGGGGGACTGGGCCGGGCCGGTCCGGGCCCGATTCAGTCTCCAGCTCACTTCATTTTTATGAAAAATTTATGTAAAAAAAAATAAAAATTCACGTGTAATTTTTTTTTTACATATTAGCCTGGCTTGAAGTCCGATTCTAAATTCGTTCCTGTTTACAGTATTCTGTGTATGGCGGACATGCATGTATCATGCATGCAAACGATATCATATACAAGCATGTAGAAATGTAGCAGAAGGGAGGAAGGTAAGGGGAGGGCGACCTGAATAATACTATGTGCAGCAAATTTAAGCTTGCTATTGTGGAAGCTGACATCTACTTTTTCCCATGTCACGCGAGATAGGCCAATCACCAACTCCTCTGCATCACATAACCCGGCATAAAATTAATAAACCATTTAGAATTAATCAACATAAATTTTCGAGGGCCAAATGAGAAATTCAATGCAGAAGAAACAAAGTTTTGAGCAAGAGATTGGCACAGACAAGTTGAAAGGCAAAGTGCACACATACGTTGCTTGTGATAGCCCAAGAATAACTAACCAAGAGGGGGTGAATTGGTTATTAAAACTTTTTCGAAGAATTAATTCAAATTCAAGCAAGTAGAGACTAAATAGATTAATTCAAATAACAAGCACGAATATGAAAGTAATAAATAAAGAGGGATAGAGAGTGCAAACGATATAATTATGGAGGTTCGATCCAACGCAATGATCTACGTCCTCCGTTATCAAGCTCTCGGGCATGAGCAATGCCAATTTCACTATGTTGATAGACTTGCGGTGAACCCTTTACAAAACTTTCGATAACTTACAAGTAAGGAGCACCGACCCTTTTACAGCTTTGAACTTTAGGGGACCTCAACACGACCCACATTTCCAATAAATTTACAAGTAAAATCTTCTCTTCTTAATGAATGATAGATTCAAAGTTGAGTACAAGAAGAAAAGTGTGCTAACACTTTAATAAATAATAATGAATGAAGCTCAAGTGTTAAATATAAAAAACTTTGATGTATAGAATGATTCTCAAGAGTTAATTTGATCAAAGATTTTTCAACACCAAAGTGATTTGATAATAAATGATATGAAAGATCAATGCATATTTAGGCTCAAAAGAGTCTCAATTGAATGCTCTAAAATTGTTGTAATAAATGACAAGAGAGTTGGCATTTATAGAGATGAAAAACGCCAAAATTTTCTATCAAACCGGATGATCGGACCGGTCGACCACCAATTTCCAGATGACCAATATGATCGTTTGTACAGGAACAATCAGAAGTCAGAACGGTCAAATTTTAGACCGTTGGAGTTTTTCCTGTCAACCGCCGCCTTGGGCCAGTCGACCGCCAATGCAGTGGGGGTCCTCATTTTTTACCTCGTTTATTCTGTTTTGAGACTTTTGAAAAGTATGGTCTTTTAGTAAGCATTTTTCACAAACTTTTTAAGATAAAAAATTATTTTACAAGTCCAAAAGTTAATCTTTAAAGGCATTTTTCACTTGATCAAAACATCGTATTCGAATCGCTTTTTAATGCACTAAGTAGTTTTTAATGTATGAAACGATTTTGAGCTATTGTCATTCATGCCCTATATCAAAGTGTTAGTACCATTACATTTTTAGCTAAGAAACAAGTTTTTGATCTTGCTTCGAAGTTTGAATCTTAATATCTTGAATGTGACTTCGATCTTGACTTCTTTCAAGAGTCCGATTAGTGACGATAGCTTTTGGTCTTTTGACGACCATTGATCAATTTTCCTTTGTATGCGTTTGAAAAACTATAATCACTTGAAATCAACTCGTTAGTAAATAAGATCAACTTATTAGTTATAATCAAAACTTTGAGATTTCAAATTAACCATAGGTCAACAACTTGTTTCTCGAAATCCCAAGAGGTCATAGAAGTCAACCTAATAGATTTTGTAAAGATTTAACCATGAAGTTTAGGAATCTTGTCAAAATAACTTCTATTCTTATTCTGGTGATCCTAAGGCCCATCGAGTTGCCTGTTTCCACGCTCCAAGTTGCATTTTTCTTTTAACTTTTCATGGGAATGTAGAGAAAAAAGGTTTTATAAATCGTTGGCGAGGAGAAATCTAACTATATTAATGGCATTAAAATTGATGATTTAATGAAATGAAGAATAGTTGAGAAATCATCAAGAACATAACTCGTCCTCCTGAAATAATTAAAGCAGGTAAACTCATGCGCAAAACAGAAGGCAGCCAGAATGATCCTCCCACAGAAGTTACTACGTATTCAACATACAGAATGCTCACATTATGGACTTGGCAGAAATTGTTTCCATACCATGCTAAATGCTTGGTGGTCCTATATTTCTAGAAGACTTTGAAGTTCAAAATAACTCTCTCTGGATTTTGCAGGAGATAAAAATCCAAAAGCCAATGAAGAATCACTTGTTTGAAAGAATTTCTAAAATGAGGACTTTACCCCTAGTAAGTCCGCCTAGGATAGCTTGCCAAACACTCACGAATCTTTAAATGAACTGCTAAAATCCTAAAATCCACTTGAGAGTATTGCCAATCATATTCTTAATATTTAAGGCTAAAAAATCATTCCTTCATAAATTATAATCCCACTTTTAACAGTCCAGATGAGTAAAAAACTACATTGTGGCAGATAAGTACAAATAAACCTTCATTAGGATGTAGGGATCGCCAAATGACCAGGTGAAAAGAGAGATGCGACCAACAAATGCAGCAGCAGAGACACATGTTAAAGAGAAGCATAAAGACACATAATTATTAAGCAGAATGTGAAAATAAGTTACAAACCTTCCAGCTCATCTAAACCAGCACCACTTGTTGAAACAGACTCACACTTCTCTCCATCGGTTGCTTTGCAGCGCTCTTCATAAACGATATGTGGATATTTTTCATCTCGAGAATCCTCCCACTAAGAGAAAGGATATTAGTACAGTCATGCAATTGCAATAAAAATAAAAATGTAACTGCTTGATTAACTGAATGGTGATAACATACCTTGGGCAATAGTAGTTCAGTCATGCAATTGCATTAAAATAGTAACTGCTTGATTAACTGAATGGTGATAACATACCTTGTGCAGTTCAATATTACGTCTTATTGATTATGTGCTCCAGCCCACTATATCTAAGTGAAATTTTTTGAAGGAAGACAAGGATGGTAGAAACCAATGAAATGTAAAATACATAGTAAACATTATTTAGCCCATTAAAAAATGTAAATCCAATAAGGTTCAGAAAATCAGGATACGGTCATAACCAACATTTGAATATGCCACCCGGCGTTCGAATGAACGCAAAGCAGACCTGCATAAATGAGTTGCAAAACATATAAACACTTGCATATCACACATATTCTTACATTCATGTGAATATCTTGAAATAGCCTGGAGAGTATCCAATCTGATTAACATAAGGCAAGAGGATAGAAAAAATACATATAATGTAGTTCCTCGCTGTCTTCTAGCATGCGTCTTAATAATGGAGGCTTTCCTTCATCATCATCTGTAAGAAAGAGGTGCCGGCCTGTTCTTCTGAATATCAAATGAATTACACAACCAGCAAATCTCTCAATAGCAGGTACACCAAAAAGAAATGGCACCTAACAAATAGCCAAAAAATAATTAATGCTACAACAAATCCAAGAATTATGACTGTGATTCGGCATGACAATTGGGAGATTCAGAACTAGTAATCTAGTATGACGGGTTTAATACTAAGATCAGCAGTAATGCAGTGTAAGGATCAGAACATGCCTTCTCCTCAAAGTTGGGGTAACAGACAGAAAAGAATAAAAAGTTCTCTTATATCAGAAATTGATGTGTCGTTCATGACAAACACAAATACAGACTTTTTTCTTTGTTGGCATGATATAGGTTACACTCTTATTCCCTCATAAAAGATTGAACCACAATAGATGCATAAAACTCATCAGCCAACAAAATGAATATTCAGCTCACATTGAGAGATCTAATGTCTTCGATTGCAACAGAAGGCTTAGTTTGCATTCTACAGGCCAAGTTCGTCCTTGCAAATTCGACATGCTAATGGTGAATAATATACAAATTATGCAGTTCACCAAAAGGTCCAAGAAGCTATTGAAGATAGTTTTCCAAGGGCTAAGAATCCTAGAGCTCTGATATTAAATTCCAAAAAATGGGCATCCAGCTAGCCACATGCTGAACAAACAATTTCATAAATAAACTGCTAAGTTAATTCTAACAACAAACATAGCCAGTTATTGTAAAAAGATTCCCAACTCACCGCATCTCCAATACGTCATATATATTTGCTAACATAAAAAAGGCATGACATATAGAACAAAATATTATTTACATTTAATGCATTTTATCACTGTCTCGAGCATTCAACTTCTATTTAACATAAGAGTCCCAGCCAAAAAAAAGCAACTAGGTACCTGCTTATTACCCCTTGAACCAAGATGAGGAGTAGCAACAGTGATGAAGTTTATTGGTTCCAGACCAGCTATTGTACCCTTTGACTCTTTTTCACAGAATGTGGCTGATAATTCTGTGCTTTCCTTGTTTGGAGGTCTATATAATCTCGCAATAGTATATCTTGCCACTAGTCCTCCCACAGAATGTGCCAAAAAAGAAATTTTACTTAAATCTGGCTTCTGTTTGATTATATCAAGTACCTATAATGAAGGTCTAAGTTAATATCAAGATATTTAGACTAATCCCAGCCAATGACATATTTTCACAAAATGGTCACAAAGAGAATGCAAAGAAGGGTCCATATCCAAAGAAATCAACCTCCTCAGCCAGCCTCTCGCCCATTACATCCACCCCATCCAATGACAGCTTGGCCATATTCCGTTCACTACCTACATACCAAATAATATCCATTAGTAAGGTGAGATAATAAGCCATTTTTTACTTCACTGAGAAACACAAAAGAGGTTAGATAATGCCTCAAGTTTTTCTAGACAATGATCAGTATACTGAAGTACTGGTATTGAGCACACTAAATAAGTGAAAGTACGAACCCTATCTTCTAATTTTTCAGGTAAATGAAGATGTAAAAATTAATAAAGTCAAACTGCCTTGGCAATTAACATAAGTCAATCCATTTCGTATAGCTACCGCGTAATCCTTGATAGAAAAAATTAAAACTACACTCAAGAATGAAGTGTAATTAATCAATCCATGGTCAACGTACAGTCTTCTGAAACTCCTTCCAATATAAAAAAAAAAAAAGAAAATAGTCATAGAAGTTTGGGGTTATTCCCTTCCTTAAAATAAATTAATTACAAAACGAGATAAAGGAGAACAATTAGAAATTCTAATGATAGAGATCAAATCAAGAATTAGAAGAGGGTAGAATATAACTTACCAAATATTTAGACTGATGTCACAAAAATCTAAAATATCTTAATTTTACAACTAAATGTTGTGTGAAAAAAAATACAGCCCAGAAGAATTTTGCTTTGGGAAATTCAACTCAGTTGAGTGTTTTATTTCAGAAACTCAACCTATTCATGAGTCCAGTTGTCATATGATGATACAATTAGATAATTTCTCTAATTATAAAGAACTAAATGAACCCAAATTCAACTTATGCAAGCCAAAAGAATCACAAAAGACAAAAGAGATCAGACACGGCACATACAGTTTCACTATATAAAATGTAAAACTCACAGTGAACAAAAACTTTAGTAGGGAGCTTTGAAACAAACTGCTCGGCAGCGTACTTCCAATCCCTGGCACTGCAAGAATGTTACAGCTTCAGGAAAACAAGCTATGAGGACAGATTTTTGGATCAAAATGGACAGTAGATAACAATTATAGAGAAACATTAAAGTCCCATAAATAATTTAGCACTATGGCTAAACAATAAAAAACCATAATAGATTTTGCAAATTAGATTGTATATGAGAAAACCTAAATGTACAGAAGCAGTTAATTCACACACATAATTCTGCACAGATCAGAAATAACCTACTAAAAAGAAAGGTCTTTGTCAAGGACATCTCATTTGTGGTTCTCCTTCATAAAAGGAAAGCTTAAATTCTAGTTAAACATTTAATTCACAAACACAATTGTGCACAGATAGAAGCTACTAAAAAGAAAGGTCTTTACCAAGGACACCCCTCTGTGGTTCTCCTTCATAAAAGGAAAGCTTAAATTTTAGCTAAACTAAAGCAGCATATACCCTCAAATTCATTTTTTTAAAATACTAAAACTAAAGTTAATGAAACAAAAAGAAAAAAACAAAACAGCCTAATTCCTCTCTTCCATCCTCCAGAAGAACAAGTTCATCCCTATCTCTACCACAGAGGTACTTCACACTGCACTTAATCAAACTTTTCCGGAATTGAACTTAAGTTCATCATATTCATGACTGATAAGCGTACGATTAAAGAATAATCAACCATAATTATGCATATTTACATATATGATTTCACAAATAAATAAAATCAACACCTTCCATCCAGTCTAACCGCATTGNAGACAATGGAAGTGGGGTACACAAACTGAGAAGAGTGAGAGGACGCGCCAGTTTGAGAAGGAACAGAGTCCCACGATCTAGGCAGTATCCATGGGTCATCGAGCTTCAGCTTCTCCATCGGAGATGCCATTACGTCAGTTGGCGATTCCATCGCCATGAGTAGTGGATAAGCCCTTCACTCCGTCGGCGACGGGAAGGTAGAGCGAACCCTTTTCGGAAATGGTTCTGGTCTTACGGAGAGAGAGGGGTTTGGTTTTGTGTGAGAGAGAGAGAGAGGGGGGCACGCTTTGGTAGTCCTGTTTCAGTTTTTTTACACTCGTTTTGCGCGTTTTGGGTGTTTCGAGTTTTTTGCTTCAAAATTTACAAAACGACGTTTTTACCATTTTCTGTTTTCAGCTTTAAATTTTTCCTTGTTTTCAAAAATTCGTTTTCGAAAATGGGAAAGAGAACGCGTTTTCACTGTTTCGAAAAATCGAAAACAGAAAACGGCTTGAAAACAGCAAAGAGAACAGGGCCTTAGTTTTTTTGTGGATTATGAAATTGATTATCCTCACAGTTCGACCACCACACAACTCAGTCACTGACGACATTATCTTCATCAAGATTAGTATATTTGTGGATTATGAAATTGATTTTTCATATATGGATTATATTAAATTTAACATTTATTTAATTTATTGTTCATTATTTATGCCATTTTGCAGTGAAAACGACGGGGAAAACGGAATTGCCACCTCGAGTGTTAACAGTCTTGTTGGACTTGATTGTCAATTGGGCCTTTTTCTTAATTTTTTTACTGTTTAATTAATTATTTCTCTTTATGATAATTTATTTTTCAATTTTAAATAATATTTATGTTCTTTATTTAATTTTTATAATTTTCTTTTGTTTAATTTTTTTTGCTATTGTTTTGGATTAAAAATTTAAATTTTTTAATTGCTTTCTTCTTATTATAATTTTTTAATTTAAAATACCTTTTAATATTATTGCTCTAATTTTTATATTTTTATAATTATCTTTAATATATTTTTCCTTTTTTATTTTGGTCTCTGATTTTTATTTAATTTAATTTATTATTATTTTTTTCTTAAAATTTTTAATTGTTTTTTGTTGATCATAATTTAATTTTTTTTCCATTTAAAATGATTTTTAATATTTTTAAATTTGTTATTTATTTAATTCATTTTCATTTTTTTATTTTTGTCTTTAATCGTTATTTTTTTCCTTATAAAATCATTTATTTTTTTATTAAAGTAGATATAAAATGAATTTATTTATTGCGTATAGCAATTACGATTCAGTTCGCTTAATTTATTTCTTTCATACCATATAGTTATGTGCATATGTGAGAACTAAACAACAAATGAACAAAAGAAAGCATACTTCAAGCCAACATTTAGGAACCTCGTCTTGTCCATCTTCTGTTATGGAAAAGTCAAATAGTTAGCAAGAAGGGAAATAAAAGGGCTAGTAAAGCTTCACGGAGTTATCTATAATGATGCAATTGCAAACATTACAAATGCACAATACTGAAGAAAACTAGAAATACTTTGGCTTACGTGGGTAAAACCATACGTGAGCCAGAGGTGGTCGCGATTATCTTAGGCAAAAACGCACAATGTAGCTCACGTGGAAAACGAACAAGGCGGAGAAGATGGTCGTATATTCACGCTTTTCGGATGCACAAATCGAAGCCGACAATTTTCTCTGTTGAGTCGGAGGTGACAATATCCTCAGAGCTATGGGGTTCAATTTGGGGGAAAGTGAGTAAGGCTTAGGGATGGCAAGGGGGCGGGACGGAGTGCCCTCCCCGCCCCGTTACCCATTTAAGGCGGGGGCGGGTCCTTGACCCGTTTACTACATGTTTAAATTTTTTTTTTTTTTTTTAGTTTTTGATAATT